TTTAACCATAGGCCCTATCAAATAAAAATGTTTTAAGCCTATTCTTAAAAGTAGACAAAGTGTCTGCCTCACGGACTAAGGCTGGGAGCTGGTTCCACGGGAGAGGAGCCTGATAACTAAAAGATCTGCCTCCCATCCTAATTTTAGATATTCTGGGAACCACCAGTAGACCTGCAGTCTGAGAGCGAAGTGCTCGGTTAGGAACATATGGAACAATCAGATCACTGATGTATGATGGAGCTTGATTATTAAGAGCTTTATATGTGAGAAGAAGGATTTTAAAATATATTCTGAATTTAACAGGTAGCCAATGTAGGGAAGCTAAGACAGGAGAGATATGATTAGGTTCATCAGGGTTAATGGATAAATACAACTGAGTATCGTCAGCATAACAGTGGAAGTTTATCCCATGCTGTCTAATGATTTTACCAATTGGGAGCATATATATAGTAAAAAGAATTGGTCCAAGCACTGATCCCTGTGGTACTCCGCAAGTAACCCTGGAGTATGAAGACGATTTGTCTTGTACATTTACAAAATGAAATCTATCAGACAGGTAGGATTTAAACCAGCCTAACGCTGTTCCTTTGATCCCTACAACATGTTCAAGTCTTTCTAAAAGAACAGTGTGATCAACTGTGTCAAAGGCAGCACTGAGATCTAACAAGACTAGAACAGACACAAGATTCTTATCTGAGGCCATGAGAATGTCATTTGTAACTCTCACTAATGCAGTTTCAGTGCTGTGATACTCTCTAAGACCAGACTGAAATTCCTCAAACAGAGCATTAGTGTTTAAATGCTCACATACTTGGATGGCCACTATTTTCTCCAGGACTTTGGATAAAAATGGAAGGTTAGATATTGGTCTATAATCATTGGGTCATCTGGATCCAGAGAAGGCTTCTTAAGTGAAGGTTTGATTACAGCAACCTTAAAATCTTGTGGGACATGCCCATTTACAAAGGATAGATTGATTATATCTAGAATGGGGGCAGTAACCAAAGGAAATGCTTCTTTAAATAATTTGGTTGGGATTGGATCCAAAATGCAAGTTGAAGGTTTAGATGAAGCTAATATTTTTGATAACTCTGAAAGCTCAACTGGATCAAAACGGTTCAAGCACAGATGAGGTTCTACAGTCACCTCTGATGCTGCCTCACTTACTGAGGAAGAAGAAATCGCATTAGGGAGGATGCTAAAGATTTTGTTTCTAATAGAATTAATTTAACTTGTAAAAAATCCCATGAAGTCATTGCTGCTGAGGGCTAAGGGAATAGATGGGTCAGAGCTATGATTCTGTGTAAGTTTAGCAACTGTACTGAAAAGAAATTTAGGATTATGCTTATTCTCCTCAATTAGTGCTGAGAAATAAGCAGTTCTAGTTTGTCGAAGCTTATTTTTATAAAGCACAAGACTATTTTTCCAGGATAGGTAGGCCTCCTCATGGTGCGTAGAGCGCCATGTTCTCTCCAATTTCCTAGAGTTTTGTTTTAAGGCTCGTAAATGAGAATTAAACCAGGGAGCCAACTTCCTGTCCCTAATTACCTTCTTTTTTAAAGGGGCAACATCGTCTAATGCCACACGTAAAGAGGAATTAACATGATGAACTAAGGCATCAATTTGTGAGGGGGTAGAACTGAAAATATTGCCCTCTGCTACATGCCTCTGAGATGCTGAGGACAGAAAAGATGGAACAGTTGATTTAAAAGATGCAACTGCGTTGTCAGATAGAGACCGACTTTAGTGAAATTTACTTTCATGTCTCGAGAACTCAGTTATAACAAACTCAAAGGTTATCAGAAAGTTGTCCGAGAGGACTGGATTATGTGGAAAGATTGTTATTTCCTCACACTCTATGCCATAAGTCAGCACAAGGTCCAATGTATGATGGCAGGAGTGGGTGGAGCTATGTATTCTTTGAGTAAAACCAATGGAGTCTAAGATATTACTAAAGGCTACATTGAGGCTATCATTTTCAATGTCCACATGAATATTAAAATCCCCCACTACAATGACCTTATCAGTATTTAGCACCAAATCAGATAAAAAATTAGAGATCTGATCTAAAAACTCAGAGTAAGGGCCTGGTGGACAATATAAAATTACAAACAAGAGTGGTTTTACAGTTTTGCAATCTGGATTAGGAAAACTAAGAATAAGATGTTCAAACGAACTGTAACTATTAATCGGTAAGGGACTGATTAATAAGTCCGAATGAAAAATGGTTGCCACTCCTCCTCCTCGCCCTGTACTTCGAGCAATATGATGATTTAAATAATTTGAAGGAGTCGACTCATTTAAGCTAACATAGTCCTCTTGCTGCAGCCAGGATTCTGTGAGAGAGAGCAAAGAGATCTGACTATCACAAATCAAGTCATTAACTAACAAAGTCTTAGAAAAAATGGATCTAATGTTCAACAACCCACGTTTAATTTGTCTAGTTTTCTGCTCAGTTGAGTTTGTTCTAATATTTATGAGATTTCCATGATTTGCTTTATTAAGCCTGATATTTAATCTGTGTGATTTTGGCCGTGGGCAAGACACTGTCTCTATGGGGTAGTGGGTGGGTAACAGTACAGAAGCTGCAGAGGGGTGTGTTAAACTACGACTCTGCTTCCTGGTCTGGACCCTGGGTAGTCATGGAGGACTAATAAAACTGGCCATGTTCCTTGAAAGAAGAGCTGCTCCATCCAAAGAGGGATGGATGCCGTCTCCCCGCATCAGACCAGGTTTTCCCCAAAAAGTTTTCCAATTAAAGCTGTTAAAGAGTGAATTCACGATACAGAACAAGCTAAGTTTTGAGCACAAACACAGTCACAGAACACTTCCTCCCTCAGCAGATATCTTCCCTTTTTTCACTAAAAAAGCTGCTCTTGTGATCAAATCAACACAACATTTAGGTTAAGTAACAGTTATATAAAGACTTACAGTATGTATAGGTGTCTGTATCTAAAACTGTGCAGCAGCCCTGGTAATTTTATTTTTATTGTGTGTAGGTGAGCCCTGTGGGCATAAAAGTCAGAAATATCATCAAAATGTTGTCCTCGGGATATGAGAAGTGTCAAAACTGTCAGCTGTCAGTTCCACAGTGTAGCGAAGAAATTCCTACATTTAATTAGAAACCATAAAATGTGAAATATCACCAAATATGAAATATCACCTTATTGGATCTTTAAGCAAATTTTATCAGAAGATTGGATCTTTTAATTGCAGGGATTGAGCAACACTCCATATTAACTTCAAGAAAAGAGAGTGAGTCAAGTCTTAAAAGTTTAAATATTTATGACTAAAGAAATTAAAACTAGACTAACTTCGGCACTAGGTGTATGGTGTAACTAAGGTGAGGTAAGACTTAGAATGGTGTATGTGTGAATGTTGTTCAGAACCAGCAAATCCGGAGAAACGATTAGTTCTGATGGGAGTGAAGGTGATGTCTTCGCGCTAAGCTTTGATTCGGAGATTCATAAACACATACGACGCCATTCTGTCGGTCTACGTACCCTTGGCAGAAGTCCCCGTCTAGATCAGGAGGTGTGGAGGTCCAGCTTGGAACTTTTCTGAAGCCGAAGCCTGTAGAACAGCCGCGGACGCCGACCAGTCCATTCTTTGAGATACTTCCGGCATCTAACAAGACCCAAAACGGGGTCGTGATGGTTCAGCTTTTATTCTGAAAGAAACAGTTGCAGCAGGTGGAACGGCAACAGATTTTATCCAGCTTGTCGTTGGTTCTTTTGGCTGAAAAGGAAAGTTATAGATTGGCCACTCCGACAACTTCTCTAGAATGCTTTGAACTGGCGTTAAAGATGGCGTGGGCATAGTTTTATACTTCGGATGTTTTGGTTTATGGTCGAATGAAAAGATGACAGATTTACCAAACACCACCAAAACTACTCCTCCGTCAGATCTGGAAGATTCTGATTGGATCAGTAAAAGCAATGTGTCATGTCTTAACGCTACGTGTGATCAGTCTCTAGTGGAAACGTTTAAAGTTATATTTCTTATTATATTCTATAGGATTGTAATAAAGTAATTAATATTTTCATTTCACAAATTGATTCACATTTTATTATCTAACACTTTGTTTGATTAGCTTATTAAAAATAGAGTTCTTTGATTTATTAAAAAGAAAGAGTCCTTTGTCTTCATTCTTCTCTTGGGCTGGAAAGAAAAACAGTTTAGAAGCAAATGCATGACCTCGAGCAATATCTCATGCAGATTAGTTCTTGCTGAGGAGAGAGGGGAAATGACTTTTAGGTGGAAAACAGTCATTTCATTCCGTTACAATAGCTCCTCGGGTGCAGGAATATATCTAACAGCAGGGATCTTCTGTTTACTCGAGCGCTATTGGGTCTGTATCTGAATCCCAATAAGAACGTTCTCCAAAAGACAGGAGGATAATGATTTTGGTGTTAAGGTAACACATTGGTAATTTAAATTCTGCCTTTAGGTCAAACTTGAGAAATTTTATGTATTTTTGACCAATCAGTGTCTCCTGATGGTGACCCAGAACTACTGGTCTGATCATCATCTCAGAAGTATTTATTGTTGGTGTGAAAACATGAACTTGAGATGCTATTCATGCATTCATTTCCCCTTGCACATTTCCTATTTTAACAAAAGCAAAAAAAAAAAAAAAAAAAACTCTTGACTGTCTTCAGTTGGTCTAAAGCTCGCAAACTTAACTTCTTGATTCCCATAATTAGTTTTTAAGGTTCAAATCTGCAGTCAGGTGAATTCAGGCTCTACTATAAACTTCGTTTTGTAACTGGGACGGCTCCACGCTTGCAGTAGGGGCACAGCACCACCTAGTGCTTCCAATAAAATCAACCTTGAAACATCACTCAAAAGTCTTATGAAAACAGGTCATGTTTCTTGTACACTTTGTTTATGGTCTGAGCGCTAAAGCTCAAATGGTCGTTTTAAGTAACAGATTACGCTTCCTGATACATCACTTTACTTTTGTTTCTCAATAAATAAAATAAAATAGGAATCAAAAGTAGATGTGGACTCAAATAATTTATTTGAAAATCAATGATTTTTCTTACAGTTTCAAGCATCTTTCAAAAGACGATTTTTACATCCATATTGTACATACAGCAGACACTTATCATTCAGCTAGCCCTAGCTAGCACAATACTGTCTCCTTTTTAAAGTGAACATTTCTTCAGAATAAAGTTTAAGGACTAAAATGTTGGTTTTGTTTTCAGTAGTAACAAACAGCGTAACTTACTCTGGATTACAGAAACAGATAATATATAGGTTTGGATTTAAATTCAAACAAGTTTTCTAAAGTGGCTAAATCGAAGTGCAAATGCACACGTTAAAAGAAAATATAGATTTAATTTTCACAACTAAAGAATTTTGACTGGACTCTCTGGTCTTCTGTGTAACATGTTTGATCCTTAAAAATGCTGGTGCAGTCCAACAGTCCCTCCTGCTGCAGTAAACTGGACTTGTAAATCATTTATAATATAAATTTGGTAGATTAAGACCTGGAGATAAAAACCTTCAAACTGTATTTCCTTCTCCTTCCTACTTAAGATGTTTGATTGTTTCCAATGAAGAATGCGCAATTGAACAAAAACCAACCATTGTAAATCAAAAAAGTAAACTTAACTCTCAAAAAATACAATCTTAAGCACTTTCCAGTCCTTCTTCAGGTGACCTATTGGCACCCTCTTCCGTAAACCAGTTTTCTGTGCAAAAGGTTTTTTTTAAACAAACACTCTCTGTGTGCATAAACAACAGATTCCTACTGAAAACCTCTTCCTGCTGCCTTTGAAGTATGAACTAAAATGGAATAAAAGCATCTAAAACAGATCGATGAGCCTTAGATTGGGATTACGCGGATTATGTGGATGTGTGTTTAAAAGGACATGATGGTTCTCTGGATGATGTCGATACACTCGTGCATCTCATGCTCTTTGATGACGAGAGGAGGGGCCAGTCGAATGATGTCGCCGTGGGTGGGTTTGGCCAGCAGTCCGTTGTCACGGAGACGTAAGCACACCTTCCAGGCATCATAGTCTGAATACAGAAGTGTTTAAACACAAGTCAGAAAACTTCTAAGTCAAGTCACACAAAATACTGAAATTTTATTCTTAAATTAGCTGCTTATAGAGGCCATATCATGAAAAATCCACTTTTTGGAGCTTTTTAGCATGTAATATTGTTGTTTTCTCACGAAATTTACTCCCAAACCCGTTTTTGGCTGCATTCAATATGAGGATTGCTGTAAAGTCACTGACACTAGTCAGTGACTCGATGTAATCTGCTGGGTTACTTATATAGGAAACTTTTTACTGATATTCTGATCTTAGTAAAAAATCTAAAACATATATAACATTTATTCCTGCTTTCCTAATTTATTAAATTATTTTCATGGGTTATTTTGCTCATGAAAACTAAGTTGTTATGGCTGGTGCCATTTATGTTTTTGTTTCATTTCTTAAGCTTGGTTTATGCTTGATGCATTTACTTTCCATTTGGTGATGCGGCTCGTGGTTGGAACGCGCTTCACAACTTGCAGCGTTTATGGTTCATGCGGCTCGTCTCTGCGGTGAGCCAATATTCTCCCAAACTGAACGGGGCAGCATGGAGCTCTACGGCATGCATCCAACACTACACCATAGTAGAAGTAAAAATTACTGTTGTTTACAACATGGCATTCCAGCATTTTTTAACAGCGTCCTCATCTTTTCCGACAGCGCGAGCTATTTCTCTCCAAGAATTATTAAGAACATGTTGATCACGGGGATCTCTGAGAGCTGAATCATACAAATGTCTGTATTTACGAACCTCTGCCATACTAGTTCTTGCCAGTACGCCTTGTTTTTCTGTGTTCGACCGTCCGCATGGCTAAAAAATTTCCTAGGTGCGCGGTGCGGAGGCCAGCTTGAGGGGTGTGGTTGTTAAAATGACGCAATTTTGCCGCACGGAGCCGTGCGAACCTCGCGGACGCATCAAGCACAAACCAGCTTTTACTCCTCTGTTTTATCCCTCTTGTGTGAGAGGAGCTGTTTTGCAGCACCTGGCTTCTCCCACACCTGTTCGGCCCCACCCTGAAGTCCCAGCTGGTGGCAATGACAATCAGCAGTTGAATGAGGACTCACTGCATAAAAGCCGCCCAGCCCTCATCATCAGGGAGCAACAGGCTGGACATGTGGTCTCTGTCCCAGTGCTGGACTGACCATAGGGCATAGCGGGCAACTGCCCGCTGGGCCGACCCTTTCATCTTTTATGGGCCAGTGTCTTTTTTTTTTTTTTTTTTTTTTTTTTTTCCTCTGGCCTCTAGTTGTTGCGGACAACTTGCCCGTGCCGCCCCACGCGATGCCTCGTAAAAGTTGGTGGATTGGCCAATTGGTAATAATACACTCTGGGCTGGACCAATAGCCAGAGGTCTGATGCACCCGCCAGTTGTTTGTGAATCTCAGTAAACAGACAGACGAGCTTAACAAAATGGAGAACAAAAAACGGAAAGGAGGAGCGGAGAAAATTCGACTAAAAAAGAAACTGGCCCTTCAGGCTGATGCTGGCACATGTGTTAAAATCTCACAGTTGTTTGGTAGTGAAGGTTCAAGTAAAATCCATTTAGGAAGTGATGGAGCCTCAGCCCAGCGACAGGTTGGAGAAGAAAAGAGGGAGGAGGAGGAGAAACCCGAGCCGGTGTTGTGCCATAAATTGACTCGCTGCCAAAAAATGATTAGCCACCGCGGGATCGCGCACGGTTAGGTAATTGCATTTCTAGACAAAATTCCCCAGGATTTCGCCCTAAAACTCAGCATATCTAGCAATATGGACATTCAGAAAGCAAAGATAACCTCTTCCGGTACTTAAACAGATGTTTATCGCGGATATTAGTGTGGCAGTGTTTGTGGCACCCTGCGCGGGAGCACGAGGACGTGCTTGTGGAAAGAGGGAGGAAGATGTGGCAGTGTGAGCATCCACAATTTCCCGATTGATGATGCGCCCTGGCTACTTAGCCAAGAAGATGTCCCTTTGGCTGACTGGTTAGAGCGTATGACTTTCACCCCAGAGGTCTGGGGATCGAATCCCGCCCGGGCACTCCTTTCTGCACCTTGCCACATTAGTTTTTCCAGTTCGGAAGTTGTTTTAAGTGTTGCTATTTGTCTTAAACGTTCACAATGAGGATATATTAATCCTTTTTGCAATATTTGCGATTGAAAGATGGTTTGTGCCACAAACTTTGTGGTAAGAACTGGCTTTCTTTATGTTACAGCCTTGATACTAAAAAAATAAATAACAATGTAAAATGGCACCCTGTATTGAATGTAAACGTTGTATAAATGGAAATAAACAATTCTCCAGCGATTTAATTTTTTTCCCCTTCCTTTCTTTAGTCTACTTGACATGGAGCCACAGTTAACTATAGTTTGGGGCACATTTTTACTTGAAAAAAAGTATTTAAAATGATCAAGCTTTGGCTTTAATGACACTGTGTAGGTTACTATCTATACATTACGTTGCTCTATTTAAAAGTAACAAGATAAAAGCACTTCAGCACATAAAATTAAGATTGTCACTTGCCAAATAGACCACCCTCCCGTTTACCTATAAGAAATGCCTCAAAATATCTTTAAATTCTTTATTGATGATTTAAGTGTAGACAAATAAAATGGCATTTTACTTGCCAAAAAGTGATTGAATCGCTAAGATTTTCATAGAGGCTAAAATTGACCAAATAAGGGTTTTATGTATTATCTGTTTATGTTACTGTACTCATACTGCCTACTGTGTCATCAAAAACACCCCAAAAATGGCAAAAAAAAAAAAGAAAGAAAAGAAAAGAAGATAATTTCCCTTGCCAAAAATTGATTACAGTGTCCTGGTCACCTGTAAAGGGTTACATTTACCTAAATATTACTTTATTTATTATCTCTTGATGTTATTAGTGCCATCACAGGATGCCGGTTGTCTTTCACATTCATAAACACCTAAAAAATGGCAACAAATGATCATTTCCCTTGCCAAAAATTGATTACAGTGTCCTGGTCACGTGTAAAGGGTTAAATTGACCTAAATATTACCTTATTTATTATCTCTTGATGTTATTAGTGCCATCACAGGATGCTGGGTGTCTTCCACATTCATAAACACAGAGTCCTGGTCACCCATAAAGGCTTAAATTGGCATAAACATTACTTCATTTATTATGATGCTGGGTGTGTTCCACAATCATATTCGAATAAACATGAAAATATTCTGTCCGAATATCTGTTTCTTGTTATAAATATAACAGCTAGAAGCATTTACAGTTAAAATAGGAGAAACACGTGACTCCCCAGGAAGGGTCGTAACACCACTTGCCTCATGCACATAAGTGAACAAAACAAAGCAGCATGGAGACACTCCGTCTCCAACCACCTCTCAGGCAGCAGCCTGCACTCCCAAGTTCTACACGTCACCAGAACATAAACAACTGCAACACAATAAAAGCAGTGTTATACAAAATGGAAGGCCTGTAGTGTTTATTCTCTTACAGTAATAACTTATCAATTTTTTGGAGGAATTTATTTAGAATTTTTTGGTTTTTATTAATTGTGCAATAGAAAAGTAATCGCTAGATTAATCATCTAAATAGTCATTAGAATAGTCGACTATTCGATAAAATAATCGTCAGAATAATCATTTTAAAAATAATCAGTTACCCCCAACCCTACTTTTTAGAATACCAGGATAGGAAGGATGGTGTAGGTTTACGTTTATTAGATTGATACATAAATACTACCAATAAGAAAGTGTACGTTGGTGTGTGTCAGAAACAGCGTAAAGCTTAATGTCTTTTCCAAAAAAAAACAGGTGATGGGCCGGTCTCCAGTCAAAATGCCCGGGCTGAATTTTTGTCCCAGTCCAGCCCTGCTCTGTCCTGTTGGCGCCTCTGCGTGCTTTTGTTTGAATCTCTTTTAGCCAATTTGTGTTTTTTATGTGCAAAGGGTTCCCTGATTTGTGGGTATATTGGCAAAGTAGAGTTTATTTTATTTTACTATTTTAGTTGCCGCCAATTAGTCCAGTTGTGTTTATTTTTCCTTGGTGTAAATAAATCTGTTAACTTTTAAATACCCCAGCATGTGTCCTCCTTGTTACACCAGGCCCACTAGACAGCCTGGATCATAACATAAGTTTTCTTCACTAGTGAATAAATGCAGGTAAAATGATGCTTTGCTGCGTTTTTATTTTTTATTTTTTTTGATAATATTAAAATAAGGTTGGAGCAATAATCTGATTTTAATTTAATTCCACAATAAGCTAATTTTAAATTAGATATTATAGACAACGGGGATGGCTTTCCATCAAATTTAAAAGCTGTCCCTCATCATTTTTAAGTCAGGCAGGATGAGCGAGCGACTTTCAAGTGCATCGGGAGCTACTGGTAGCTCGTGAGCGATGTGTTCGGAGACCCCTGTTTTAGCACATACTGACTCAAGAAAATGATATAAAAATATGAAAAAGTTGCATTGCATGCCTTTAAACAGTTATAAGGACAACTATAAACTACTGAGAATATTTATAATGAGCAAAAATCCACAATCTGTTTCAGTCGGTCTTTACCTTTGGTTTCCTTGATGACGACTGCATTGAGGAGGCCCTTCCCTCTAACGGTCGTCACAATGTCTTTGGGAAGTTTGTTCAGCTCAGATCGTAACTTCTCTCCCATCCTTTCAGCATTTTCTGCAAGCTTCTCCTTCTCAAGCACCTGTGCTTGAAAACAAGGGGCTTAATAAATCTATTTTCCTAGTTGTTCAGCAAAGTGTCCTTAGCTGCTGGATTATTTTAGGTTTTAAAGGCAAATTAAACAAATTTTCTGACATTAAAGTATCTTTCCGGAGTTTTTCCCTTTCAGAAATTATTTATGATTTATCAGAAATCCGTAAAAGTGATTGTCTCATCATGTCATGTGATAAAATGTAAGCAATACGTTTTTTTTTATTTTGCTAAGCACGACCCCTGGCCCGAAGTGCTCCGTGCAATAGGAAACTAAAGCCTACAGAACTAACCAATAGCGTTAGACCACCGCTTACACGCTTCAAATTTAAGGAGTATCTCGGCTGATGCAGAGTTGATGAACTTTTCACAGACAAGTAAGTCTCTAAAATATAAATATGAAAACACAACATGACATGAGAATAATACGTGTAAAACAACGTGTTTTAGCTCTGTTTATCAGCTACAGAAGGACATAAAAAAACGAAAGGAGAAATTATTTGTGCGATATGCTTGTCAGCCACTAGATGGTGCCATTGGATAAGATAAATACTTCGGAAAGAGACTTTAATTCAAAATGCATGAACACAAAGACTCCTTAAGGTGGTTAAGTAGAATGACAAGGCTGCCCTTAAGCACTGACCTCCAGTGATGCAATAGCAACCTGACAGGCTACAGGGTTTCCTCCATATGTGGATCCGTGTTCCCCAGGCTTGATGGTCAACATTATTTCATCATCACACAGCACGGCAGACACCTGGGGGAAATTAACACAGATTGTAATCTGATATCCAGTAATAATGATCTTTAGATCCACGGGATAAACACTTAGTAGTCAATAGGAGTACAAATGCTCACAGGGTAGGTTCCTCCAGAGAGAGCTTTACCCAGAATCACCACATCTGGGCGGACTCCCTCGTGGTCCACAGCCAGACGACGACCAGTGCGGGCCAGGCCTGTTTGCACCTCATCTGCAATCCACAACACCTGGATGGACCACAAAGACAGAGTCATCACTTCAGCTCAGTTTTCTTCATATTGTCACCTCTGCACTTTACACTGAAAGGGAACCAAGAAGTCACTTTGAGTAACTTTGACAACAGCCTAGAATACGACTTGTTCAGTGATTCTACAATGCAGCACCTATTACTCTATTAATACTAATAACTCTTTTAAGGCAGAGAAACTCATTAAAACTCAAAAAACTTCAACATGCAAAGAAAAACTGTCTCTAAATAGAATAGAATAGACTTTATTGACACTCCCAGAAAACGTACAGCCACCAAGTTCTCACCAACAATATTGACTTTTTCAGAGAAGAACATTCTGTAACAAATGACTAACTGCACAGCTTAAATGTTAGCTGTGGGCCAGTTTTTGAACATCTTATGTAACTTCTGAGATTCATTTACTTGCTCTGTGAAAAAACTGTCTCTTTGTGTGAAGGTTCTTGTTTATGTTTATGTTTATGTATTTAGCAGACACTTTTGCCCAAAGCGACTTACAAGTGATAATCGGCATGTTGCCTTTGAGGCTAACAACAACAATAACAACTAGGGTTGTCACGGTAACCGGTGTAGTGGTAAACCCTGGTAAAAAAGTGGACAATGATAATAACTGTCTTGTTTTTAAAAAATATATATTATCTCGGTGGGTTTACCGTGGCTGCGGTGTAGGCGCGGTGACCCTTACCAGCCACCGTATCATCTGCTGAAGTTGCCGGTGGCACATGCGCACGGCACAAGCTAAAGCTGATATAATGGCCATAGGAGGAGACGGCAGCGCTCAGGACATTTATTATCCCTCAAAGAAGACAAAGTGGGAAGTACGGGCATCTTTTGGATATTTGAAGAATGCCGAGGGACAGTTGATAGAAGACGGCTATCCTGTTTGCAGCACGTGCAGAAAAAGTGTCTGTGAAAGGCAGCAACACTTCAAATCTCATGACACATCTGCGTGACCATCACCCACAACTCTACAGTCAACGCAAGGCAAGCTAACGTTAGTGTTTTAGCTAAAATGCGTGATCCGAGGATTTGGGTTGAGGGAGAATGCAACGAGTCGCTATATAAAGCAGCCACAGCGCCGCTACCTGCATATAAACCGTGTCGCGGACACCCCCATGTTGAAATGAAGCTATGCATTACGGGGCTCCCAGGGGCAGATAAGAGTTGGTCTCTCTCTGAGAATAATTATGAATTTAACAATGATTACTGCCTGATGATATTTTCCCACATCTGCAAAGCTCACTGGAAGGACACAAACCGAGAACAATATTTTCATGATATAGGGTTTATTACTCAAGTAAGGGTAAAAAAAAGTATCTGATTAGAAGGCTACTTGAGTACTGAGTATCATCTGGTCTAATATTTTTAAAATGATGACATCAAACAGACAAAAAATAAGAAGTTATGGGCAAATATTGGTATTTTAAAGACTAAAGGGGAAAAATGTAAACAAATAAACAACATAATTACAAAATAACACATTTTAGGCTAAATTTAGACACAAACTGAGGACAATATTTCCTGATATACAGGGTTTATTTAGTTGTCTGAAAATGTGACACGTTTAAAAAAGTACCACGATAATACCGAAAACCGTGGCAATTTTGTTGACAATAACCGCAAGATTACATTTTCACACCGTGACAACCCTAATAACAACAACAACAAACGGTTTCCAATCAGTCGTAGGTAGCAGTGAGGCAGCATGATGAATCATAGAGAGGAGGGAACAAGGAGTGGACAGTAGAGAGGGGGACGGGTGAAGGGAGGCTGCTACAGCCAGGTCCATAAATATTGGGTGTAGCAGAAATCCACATTTTATATCCCCAGGTTAACTATGTTTGGATTTACACGGAGAAGAACAATAATATTTTCACACAAAGGTTTCTTTCACACTTCGCAGAAAAAAGGGGGAATTTGAAAATGACCTACAATCGTTCCAAGGTACCATTTTCAAACATCTGGCTAACTCCTACATTTTCTCCCAGGAACGTAAATTTTACCAAGTGACTTGTTAAGCCGGACATTATCAGGACTTGGTCTGTCTTACCTCAACCTGCCAATAACTGACTCTCCCCCAAGGCCAGGTGCTCGTAAAACTTCTCAAGAGTCATTCTGGAAGATTTCAGGATTTAGCCTTTATCAAAACCCTGTTATTTTTATTTATAATCAAAGAAGGTGTTTAGGTTGTTTACCCATAAAATAGAAATCAAGGTGATCTAAGTTAAAATCTTATCAGTTACAAACCTAACTGCTTGTTGTGTGCTTTTTCTTTTATGTTAAACCTCTGCCAATTTTTGTCTCTCCAGTTAAAATTCATGCTAATGGCAAAATTGTTCAGTTTTAAGACATGAATTTTATTCTTTCCCGTTTAAAGTAATACTCTGATGCTAAAGTAATACTTTTGAGGCTTTATATGAATAACTGTTAAATTGAGATCATGGACTTTCCATCTTTGAGAAGGTAGTTTATTTGAAAGAGCCACAGTGCCATCCAGTGTCCAGTGGTTAATGAGTGAAATACATGCGGGTGTGACCCAGAAGGTTATAAAGCCACTGAGCAAACCTCGTGCTGGCAGAGAAAGAACAAATAAGAAAGATGCCTTAAGTGAACCTCTGCTGGGCTATTCATCTGGGCTCAGCAACAGCAGAACCCGGCGCTTTACAGTTGTCAAGTAATTAGCTCTCAAAAGTTACGGTAAAAGTTAGAAGCAACACCGTTTGTTTTGTTTATGTTTATGTATTTATGTATTTAACAGACGCTTTTGTCCAAAGCGACTTACAAGTGATAATCGGCATATTACCCTTGAGGCTAACAGCAACAATAACAACAACATTGACATCAGTCATGAAGAGTAGGGAACAAGGAGTGGACAGTAGAGAGGGGGGATGGGTGCAAGCAAGGAGCTAGTTAAGAAGATGCTCTCTGAAGAGCAGGGTCTTCAGGAGTTTCTTGAAAATTGAAAAGGAAGCCGCAGTTCTGGTAGTGCTTGGAAGGTCATTCCACATTTGTGGAACAATGCATGAGAAAAGTCTGGATTGTCCTGAGCGTGGTGTAGGCACTGCTATCCGACGATCCTGTGATGACCGGAGCGGCCGGGCCGAGACGTAAGCCTTTGCAAGAGGATTCAGGTAGATGGGAGCCGTACCATCTCGGACTTTGTATGCTAGTGTCAGCAATTTCAATGTGATGCGTGCTGCTAGCGGTAGCCAGTGGAGCTCAATGAACAGAGGGGTGACGTGTGCTCTTTTTGGCTGGTTGAAGACCAGATGCGCCGCTGCGTTCTGGACCATTTGAAGAGGTCTCACAGTACTGCCTGGAAGACCAGTTAGAACGGCATTGCAGTAATCGAGGTGGGAGATGACAGTAGATTGCACCAGGAGCTGGGTGGCATGTTGTGTTAGGTATGGTCTGATCGTTTGTATGTTATACAGCGCAAAGCGGCATGAACGAGACACAGAGGCAACATGATCTTTAAAGCGCAGGTGTTCATCAATCACAACACCCAGATTTGTAACTGCCTTTGAAGGAGCCAGAGATAGGAAGTAATTTTGGATAGAGATGTTGTGCTGTATGGATGGTTTTGCTGGGATGACAAGTAGTTGAGTTTTAGAGAGGTTGAGTTGGAGATGGTGGGATTTCATCCATTTTTGATATGTCAGAGAGAAAGTTTGATATTCGTGCAGAGACAGTGTGGTCGTCCGGTGGAAATGACAGATAGACCTGGGTGTCATCTGCATAGCAGAGGTAGGAGAAGCCATGTGATCAATGATCTCACCCAGTGAGGTGGTGTATATGGCAAAGAGAAGAGGTCATAGTACTGAGCCCTGGGGGACTCCTGTGGCAAGATGGTGCACGGTAGAGGATTGTCCAAGCCATGATACACTGAATGATCGTCCTGTGAGGTACGATTCAAACCAGGTGTGTGCTTTCTCTGTGATGCCCATGGTAGAGAGTGTGGACAAAAGGAAGCCATGGTTGACTGTGTCAAATGCTGCCGATAAGTCAAGCAGGATACGCACTGAGGATTTGCCTGTCGCTCTAGCTTCTTTTAAGGATTCCGTCACTGCTAACAGAGCAGTTTCAGTGGAGTGGCCCTTTTTGAACCCAGATTGGTAAGGGTCAAGCAGACAGTTTTGTGAGAGGTATTATGTGATCTGCTTGAAAGCCACCCTTTGAATGATTTTGGACAGAAAAGGGAGGAGAGAGATAGGTCGGTAGTTCTCCACATGATTTGGAGGAAGAGATGGGTTTTTTAGCAGCGGTTTAACCTGAGCATACTTGAGAGAGGTGGGAAATGTACCGGATGTCAGTGAAGCATTGATCGCATGTGTGACTGCTGCAGCTACTGTAGGAGCAATGACTTGGAGCAGCAGCACCTGCCTGCTTCTCACGCACCGGCACCCATTAGCTCAGTTGAGGTCTGTGTGGTTTATAAATGCGCCTATATAAACAAATTCTTAAACTGCTGATTGAAACATGTGCCCCTTTCTAATATGCCATTTTATGTCCACTTTGATATGTCAGAAACCATTTGTTCGTTCTCATGAAAAAGGCAGCATTCTATTTTTCTGTGAATAAATTCACTCTGCAGTTAAAAAAAATTCAGCATTCTTTGCTGGGGTTTTTTTTCTAACTGGAGTGCGCATTTTCAGAGCGTCAGATAAAATTTACAAACGCTGTATTAATTGGGGGAGTTTATTTAATCTGCCGCTCTGAAAATGCGCTCTGCAGTTAGAAAATTAGAATGCTGCTTTTTTTTCTAATTGCACAAGAGCGCATTTTCAGAGCAGATTAAATTTACAAACGCATCCAATTAATATAGTGTTCGTAAATTTCATCTGCCGCTCGAAAAATACGCTCTGTTAGAAAAAAAAAGCTGCATTGAATGCTATTTTTCTTTCTTTTCTTTTTTTTTTTTTTTTACTGCAGAATGCTGCTCACAGATAATTAGAATGCTGAGCATTCTATCGTGCTAAAACATTATGAAAGGTTAAAAAAAAGTTGGGCTTGGGTTGGGCCAGAGAATCCTGAAAACCTTTTCGGACTGGGTCGGGCTGGGGCTCCACCCCCTCGGGCCGGGCCGGACACAGGCTCAGATTTTAGGCCCGTGCAGAGCTCTACCCCACACACAAGAGGCACAGAAGCAAAATGTTCCGCTTGCAATCAATAATAAATATTTTTATACTGTCATACACATGCATCATGACTCACATTGTATTTTGTGCAAAGTTGTCTGACTTTAGTCAGGTAGCCCTGGTCGGGCACCACCACTCCAGCTTCTCCCTGGATGGGCTCCACCATGAAAGCTGCTACGTTTGGGTCCTGGAGGGCTTTCTGAATGATCGGAAAGAATATAACAAGAGGTCAGTTTTACCCAAAGGTAAAAGAAATTTCATCAAAATGAACAGAAATTAACTTTTTCATTTGCAGAAACGCATTACATCTGTCTGGCCTCCAAACAAGAAAAGCAAGGATCTACAACATGCAACCAAGTAAGTAGCCATAATAAGTGCTTTCCTCTTGGCTGGAGAAAAAGTCATGCAGAAGACGAGACTTTCTGCACTTTCACTCTGACTAAAGTTCATCTTCCTTAAATCATAAATTATTTTTTAAAACGTGATAACTGCATAAGTGTCATATAATCATATCTTGTTAAATCCCAAAGTGTTGGAATAATGTGTGCTTTAATCAATGATGTGTTAAAATGAATATTTTTCCTGCAATGATTCATTTCAGATCTTAAACTTACACCAGCTGTTATGTGAAACTATCAGCGATGAAAGCCTGAACCATTACCTCTGAGCCTCACCCATTTACTGAGGCTTGGCCAGCTTATTACAGACCTGACTATAAGCCTGCACTACTCATACTTAGCTTTGAGTGGTACTAATTAGAGACACTGGTCTATGCTATTATTGTAACATGTTTAAAAAGCTCCTGCTATTAAATGAAACCTAACTTTGAATTACATTTTATATTAGGGCTGCAACAAACGATTATTTGGATTATTAATGAATCGGATGGGGTCTCAACTAATAGATTAATCGGAATGAATGGAAAATTTAAAAACTGCTAGGGACATTTTTTCTCTCCTTCCTTTACTTTAACAACAGAACATGATTAGAAAACAGTTCAATAGCGTGCAAAACAACACGCTATACCTAAATATATCCATAGTTAAATTATGATCAGAAAAAATGTATGTATTTCATTAACATGTTCAGTAGTAAGTGTAGTGTCATGAATGTCCTGTTTTTGACCTGCTGCTGCTGCTGCGTCTGCTCGAGTAGAGACATAAAGTCTCTGACAGGCTAATCTACATGAGATAGTGGCCAAGGTCTTTCATGCACTCTGCTCATCTGAACTGCTTCACCTCTGTTACAGCTCAAGATGAAGAACTCTTTTGATGAACACATAATCAACAACTTTGTTATTACCAATAATAATGTGAGCCCAATGTTCAATCTGTGAAATGACAATGTTATTACTTGATATTATAATCCTGTGATCAGTAGTATTTTACAAGCAATTATAATCCTGGACATTTGCACTAGACACTGATGACACGTAATGCTAAAGTCACACGACACATTTCCTTTTGTCTGATCCAATCAGAACCTTCGTTTCTGATGCGAGGCGTGGTTTTCTGTGGTGTTTGTATAAACCCTCTTTTGCATGTCAAATTCTGATTCGCCGGTAAACCAAAATATGACTATTATAAAAACTATTCCACGCACCCTTTTCTTTAGTTCAAGGCGTTCTAAAGAAGTCTCGGACAGGCCATCCGGACTTCCTCTTCAGCCATAAAGAACCTCGACAAGCTGGATAAAATCTGTTGCAAGTTACACCTGACCTCAACGGTTCCTTCAGAATAAAAGCTGAACCTCAAGACCCCTTCAGGATCTCACTGACGCCAATGAACCTGTCATGACCTGGAAGCATTCCAAGACTAGTTTGGTCGGCACCGCTGCTTTTCTACCAGCTTCGGCTGCAAGGAGGGTCCAAGAGGACCTCGACATTCTGGATCTAACGGAGACTTCCCCTGGGGTACGTAGACCGACACATGGCATTTCATGTGTGTTATAAATCTCCGACTAAAGTTTAGAGCAAAACATTCACTCCCACTCAGAACTAAATGCTTCTCTGGATCCTAAGGTTCTGATAACCACATTCCACACATACATCATTCATCTCACATCTCACTCCACCTTAGTTCCATCAGTACACAGAGTGTTTAAGTTAGTCTTGTTTAAATTGTGTAGAAATAAATTTCTTAACTATTATAAACTTGACTCTCTCTCTCTTTCCTCAGAGTTAATACGAAGTGTCAAGTAATCCCTGCAATAAAAAGTCCTGATCTTCTGGTTAAAATATTCAAAGATCCATCAGATTGATATTTCATGTTCCTATGGAAACTCACATCTTATGGTTCATAAGTAAGATGTAAAATACCCATCCTTTACATAAGCTACTGGAAATGCTAATAACATTTCATTTCTACTGCTAAAAATGCAACGATGACATGTCTATTATGTACAGGTTGGCAATAATCCAGTTTAAATTAAGTTCACAGATGGATGAGTTTGTGAATTACATGCTACAGTGGCTTGCCATAATCCTACAGCAGTGTTGAGCCATGTAGACTCGAAGCAGCACCTGACTGCTCCGGTTCTGCTCCGTAGCGCTGCAGACAGCTAAGAATAAACAGGATGATGATGGAATTTTCTTCCACTTGTAAAGTTTAGACATTCTTAGTTTCACGACCATCGTACTTTTTCAGAACCCCACTTGATCGTGAGCCTGCTACTAGCTAGCATTAGCTAATCTGAACGTAGTGGCACTTTTTGATCCCAAACATTGGACCGTTTCTGCCTTTGTGTTTTTGCTGGTTTCTCTGTTTTCCTCCACAGCACCTATAGCACACTGTGGGCCAGTAAAAGGCATCTTCCTTACACAATAACAAGCAACTTTTGTCACAAATACACATTTATGAAGATGATGAAATGCGTTGCCAACACAATTCTCTATCGATTTTTATTGATTTTATGGATTCGTTGTTGCAGCCCTATTTCATTTACTTAGTGGAGTAATTTAAGCATGACGTTGATTATCTGACTGTTTGACATCCAGTAACTAAATCTCCTTTTGACAGCTTACTAAACCTTTCCACAGTCTAAAAGCACTCTTTCTATGTGCCGTATTTCATTTACATAACAGTTGACTTCAGCAGGACAAACGTTGTACCTCCAGAGCAGGAATGTCATTGAATGGGACCAGCTCAAAGCCGGGCATGAATGGCCCAAAACCCTCATAACTGCTGGGATCAGTGGAGCTGGAGATGGCTGCCATGGTGCGGCCCCAGAAGTTTCCATCTAAATAGCACCATGAGGAAACAATCAGACCATTTTTATATTCTGCTGTTACTTTCCTAACGCGTGTGTTTTATTTATATATGAATAAAAAAAACTTTTTTATTAGTTTCTGTAAAACAGTGACTTACTTGCAAAAATAATTTTTGCCTGATTCTTTGGAACCCCCTTTACGTTGTAGGCCCACTTCCTGGCCAGCTTACAGGCAGTCTCACCACCTTCAACCCCTGATTTGTAAGAAAGTAACAGAAAATTCAATAAATCGGCTCAGGATAACCTCAGAATATTCTTCAATAGGTCAGAAACAGTGATCACCTGTGTTCATGGGTAAAACTTTGTCATAACCAAACAGGTTGGTGATGTACTCCTCGTACGCTCCCAGCACATCGTTGTAGAAGGCTCTGGAGGTCAGGGTGAGTTTAGAGGCCTGCTCTGTGAGGGCGGCAATGATCTTAGGGTGGCAGTGTCCCTGGTTTACTGCACTGTAAGCGCTGAGGAAGTCATAATACCGGCTCCCTTCAACATCCCACACATAGATCCCTGGAGTTGAGAGAAAACCAGGTTAAACGTCAGACACAATTTTAGCGTTTATTTTCTGCATTAATGTTCTCTCCTTACCCTCCCCTCGCTCCAAGGCCACAGGCAGGGGGTGGTAGTTATGAGCTCCATACTTGTCCTCGCGGGCGTAGATCTCCTCTGGGGTGAACTGACGTTCCGCCCTTGCCTTGGAAGAAAGAGCAGATGCAGGACGAGGTCCAGAGTGGATGCTTCGACGGAAAAAGGGAGCAGCACGACCCAGGACGCGGCTCAGCTGAATAATTCCCTTCATGATGAAAGTTGTATCTGCTACATGGTTGAGCACAAAAATACACCAGAAAGGTTCCAATGATGACCAGTTTGTTATTAAATACAGTTATAAGAACCAAGAGTGACTTATACAACCAAAACAAGTTTTATAACATTTTAGATTTTAAAACTATAACCATTACAAAAACCGGTTCCTATTGTTTTTGCAAACGATTCCCTCATCAATTCTAGTCAGCGCAAATGACGTTGTAAACAGGGCAACTAACTGTTAATACTTGCAAAGTGGATATTTTATCAAAAGGAGGAAAAATGCGAACATGCAAAAGCATTTGCGCACAAAATATGTGATAACTTAAAGTGAATGTCTTGTTTGACCTGCTCTGGACTAGTGAATTTCAGCGCAGCAGCAACGGTGACGTTTGCACGTCCTCTTCTGTTAATACTGCAGGTAACTAATCAACTAACACTGCCTATCACAAGGCTTCCCCCAGAATCCTTCTGTGTGACGTGTCCCAACATGGTTATACGAATCAGTAGGTTTTAATAATCCTTTAGAGAACGTATTAGAACGCTCTGGTAGAACACAATAAATCACCCTCTGCATGTGTTACTCACTTTTGGATATTTTTCACAGGGAAAACGTTCCCTATCTTTTATTGCTTCTGCTCCTAATACAGTTTGCAGCTAGTTGTGAGAATCAAGTTTCCCCAAACAAAACCACATCACAGTGGAAACACTTGACACAGCATCGTGGCCCCACCATGAATTAAATATAAGACTAGAATACTTTGCAGGGTTGTGCTAACAGGTATAACACAGAACTTCACTACAACTCAGATTATAATGTGTGCGTGTGTGTGTGTGTGTGTGTGTGTGTGTGTGTGTGTGTGTGTGTGTGTGTGTGTGTGTGTGTGTGTGTGTGTGTGTGTGTGTGTGTGTGTGTGTGTATGTGTGTGTGTGTGTGTATGTGTGTGTGTGTGTGTGTGTGTGTGTGTCGGTGGTCTTTATGTTTTTAATTGTTTTACGAGTGTTGTTAAGCTGTTACATGCTTATTTTCATACTTTCTGCTCTTGCTGCTGCCTCTTGGACAGCTGATTTTGCCGAGTAGCTGTAAGTTTTAAGAAGATACGTTCATGGTGGTCACGTGACCCTAAAGTTAACGTTGTAAAACATTTGTCACAAATACACATTTAGCTCTCATATTACACATCAAGGAAAAAACATCACGTATGTAATTTAAAACAAATATTACCATGTTTGCCCCGTTATCATTTTCATAAAGAGGACAGCATGTTAATTATATGGGTCAATCCCAGACAAAAGCTGATATATAATTATACTTATATTAGTAATGCTGACATCAGGAGCAACATCAGTGGAATGAAAAGCTCCTGGATGCAAATGAAGATTAAATACAAAAAGGTGTTAAAACGCAAATCCAATTACAACTCTTTTCAAGTTTAAACTTCACATTTATTAATAATTTAGCCATCAAAATCAAAGCTGCAGCTGCAGCAACCGCTGTGGGCCAGCGGTGGTCCCAATTCACCACTTCATAGTTGTCAGCAACTGACAAGGAAAAGGGGATGTAACATGCCTCGTCCAATCATATTCACCAAGCTTCATCAAGTCTTGCTGCTAGCCCGCCATTGAGCAGGTTTGCAACACTGCAGCATGTGTTACCATGGTGAATGGGAGGGGCTTCAGGCTAGCCACGATCGTGGGATTGAATCTGGGGAAATAAAACCAGTATTTTCAAAGAGAGCCTTATTTTTGGGATTAGCTTGCTTTGTGGAATACCCCCCAGTTTAAATAAAGGTAAAACTACGAAGGAGGATTGGGGCTACTGAAAAGAAAGGGAATTCTGACTTTTTCCTCAGAAATCTGACTTTAATAATTCTGAGAAAAATAAGTCAGAACTCTGAGATTAAAGTCTGAATTCTGAGATTAAAGTCAGATTTCTGAGAAAAAATTAAGAATCCTCTTTATTTTCTTTTTTTCTCGCTCTCTTTTCAATTATCTTCTGTCTAAAACAATAATAAAAGGCTGGAGCTAACAATTCTCACAATTTTTGCTAAGTCAGATAAGATAAATTCCAACAAGCAGTAGACTGTAGTACACTGATCCAAGCAATCTAGAAATATAAATAAACATGTAATATGGTAATAAACATGGTAATAAAAAATGGTAATAAAAGCTTGTTATTTCTTTTTTGAGAATACAGGAAGAGATTTAAAAATAACAGGCTAATTCGTAAATGGACTGTATTTGATATGGTGCCTTCTAGAGTTCTACAACCCACCAAGGTGCTTTATGTCACGAAACAGGGTTTGTAGGACCCAAAATGCAGGAACCCAAGATGACACAAGACAGGTGATAATATAAAGAAAAATCCTTTATTTTGAAGGAAGAGTCCAAAAATCAAATAAATCCATAAGGGGCTGGAAGCCAAAAATCCAATATGTCCCAGATCAAAACTAGAGACAAAACACTGGAGACTAGAGACGACCGAGATCCAAAATACTGGAGACTAGAGAAGACTGACAGAATACCACAATGGACCGACAAGACAATGAGAAACAGACAGAGCTTTATAGACTGGGGCATAATGGGAGGCAGATGAGCTGTAGGTGTGTGGGGAGATAACCAGGTGAAGGCAATAACTAATCAGGGAGGAGGAGCAGGAAGGAGCAGGGGAGGACACCGGACCTGACTGGGGAAGGACACACACACACACACAGCTGGAGAAGGACACACACACACCTAGCTGAGAAGGACATACACACACACACGCACACACAAAGCTGAAATAATAGACCTATAGAAATATGGTGGGGAGACCAAGAGAACATGAAGAAAACCAGGAGGGAGCTGGGGACAAAAAGGCTGGAGCTACAACTGGAGGGGCTGGGGATGACCTGAAGGGCTACAAACAGAAGACACATAAATGAGACGCAGACAAAGGACACATGAGGGCGCTATGAGACACAGAAGGGAATCTAGAGAGGGATGGAGAAACATCAGGAGACACATGAAGGAAGACACAGACGCAGACCATGACACTTTATAATACAATCAGTCATGATCTGGGGAAAAGTGACTGTTGTCATACAGGCGGGGGGGGGGGGGGATTTGGCAAATTTCTTAAATTCTTGCTGGATTATTTTTCTTAATTCCCTATATTTTTATGCCTGTTAAGTCTTCATTTGTTCTGAACACGTCTTGTCTAGATATACTTTAATGCCACATCAAATAAATGTTTCAGCTAATAACTCAGAAAAAGCATGGCCAGCTTTTATTTAAATGTAAACAATGAGTAATAAACATTCAAATCTATCATTCCAATCAAAGGGGTTTAGTTTTTTGAAGCCAAATGTAATTAATAAATATGTAATTCAGTTTCATTTATTTTTTTTATTGTTTTTATTTTATTTCATTTTATTTATTTTTTTTTGCATTTGCACCATATTATAAAGACAAATGATCTGAATAATGTCTAACAACTATTTCTTTAAAAAAGCTGAGCTGGAGCCTAATAAACAACTGCGCAGCCACCTGGTACTCCACAGAGCACAAAGGCTTTACAGGTCTGCTGAAGCACATTTCTCTTTCACATGAATCACAATGGAGCAGCAGAAACACACTGAACGTAAGCCAACAAGATAAACCCACAGCTGCGTGATGTTCCAGACTTTTCTGTTTGAACACAGTACAAAATTAATAATAAACCCGTTTTTCTTTTTCAAACATGTAACAGCTCATATAAACTAGTATTCAACTTTATTTTTGTTTGAACTGAAGTTGTGTTATTCAGTGGTTATTACTTACTCATTAAAAGTTTTGAAACGTATTATTTGCTCAAAGAACATACAAGTTAGCCAGTGCTTGCTGATAAATTATCTGTATCAGTGACTCAACAGAACCTTAAACGGGAAACAGGACTTTTGCCAGAGACTCATCCCTCAAACCTTGACAGCTGATAGGTCGTAGAGGAGCTGCCTCCATCGCACACCCACAGACCTCAGCAGGCGGCTAAATAAAGAACTTTAGCTTGATTCGGTTCCTGGAGGTAAGGCAGCTCTACGGAGTAACCTGGTGTTACATAACAGAACATCTCCCTGTCTTAATAAAAGCTACTCGCTGTAATATAGCACTCGAATACGGTATTTACGACCCGTCCCTTATCAATAAATACAAAACCGTCCTTCTTCAAAAAGTAACAAGCACTGAAAGATGAATACTAACCAAACACAAAGGACTCGCCTAGCTTAAAAAGCTATGCTGTCAGTTATTTTCCATTGCACTCAGCGAATTATTAATTCACATTTTATCAAGAAAAAAGTAAAGAAAAACAAAGATAATTCAAACAATACCAGAAATAAGGGAAGTGTAGCTCAGGTAGTACCTTAAGAGTGAAGTTGGTCCCGGTCTGGATTCAATTTAATGCGTTCCGGTGAAGATTATCAGCTGTGTTCAGATCGTGGCGGCGGCGTTGCTGTACGTACTGACGTCAGAAGAGACGCCTCCATGCTGCAATCCTGTCTGATGATTACGATGACGAAATCCTTGCCAGAATCAGAATCCCTAAAACATGCACTTCACGATTTAGCATCATCATTTAAACCACTTCAAGAAAGCAGTGACGGTAACGTTAGCGAGCTGTTACTGATGCAGCCATAAGTTTTATGTCTTCCATTGGACCACACGTGTCTGTATGGAGCCATTAAGATGCTTCAAAAATAACTTTAAAATTATGAACCTAAATGTGCTAAATGTTTTAACACCCCTTTTACAATTGGTAGAAAACATGAATCAAGCATGAACAAGTAGCAAATATATTATAAAGCTGAGAAATAAATTATTCGAGCAAAAAGTGTCCAAAAAATACGCAGAAAAGACATAACGATTAAATGAAATGACCACGTAGTTATTTTGTATTTATCCCCCACCCCCAGGATATTTATGGGAATTCCATATGTTCTCATGAGATTTTTTTGTTTTTACTTTAAAATCAAACTATCACTGTTTATTCTCCTTTTGCTTTTACTCAATAGTTTTTACTTCTATCATTCCAAATGATAATGCTCTTTCCAAGTACATCTTCTCCATTCAAGAACAGTGAGTTAATAAGATTGAGGCATTTAAAATTCGTGGATTGCCAACAAAAAGTTCATTTTATTTCTAGGAAATGTTATAAACTGAGCAAAATGATACAAAACTATCCTGTTGCAGCCATGAGAAGAACTGTCTGAGTTCTTTAAATGTACTAAAGTTTCTTCAGTGCTTTTCTTTGTATCTTTGGTTTCATCAAAGTCAAAACAGTGATACAATAGTACAATCTCTTCTGCCAAGATAAATAAAAGGTGATAACATCTTTGGTCACTCCTGTTATTGCTGTTACATTGTCAGCCTTTTTAAATGGCCGATTTTGACAATGGTTAAACAAAAGCAACATTGAAATTAGTCAGCATGAAACCACAAAGCTGAAGGGGTTTGGACAATAAATTGTTACTTTTGTAATTTGTTTATATGTTTATTTAAGGAACCCCATTTCTTCCTGGGGTCCGCATCATTAAAAAACATTTACAATAGTACATATACAGTGTAAGAAAAATAACATACAAAACATTTAAACAAACATATCCATTAATAAGAAAATTCAGCAAAGATAAAAGCCATTCAAATGCCCCCCCCCCCCCCCCCCCCCCGGCCAGTTAATAACCATTGAAAGGTAATTAAAGACCCACATCAGTCATTTTGTTTGAAATTGTTATGTATGACCAAAGTCTTAAGAATTTTTTTTGAATCTGCCATGATCATTTATTAATGCCACTCCTGGAGGCAGGATATTCCAATATGAAACAGCTCTGTAAATGACTGTTCTCTTGAGGGCATTCATTTTTGGCTATGGAAGGGCAAAGGTTACTTGGGAGGCTTTCCTTGTGTTAAAACCATGTCTCTTACATGTCGGTAGCAACTTTGTGAACAAACTAAAAGGTTTATGTGATATCCAAGTTTTCTGCAAAGAGATAATCAGGCTACAGGCTAATCTGTCATTTACCTTAATCCAGGACAACCTGGATAATAATAACAAAGTTTCCAAATAGTACATTTTCATCTAGAAGAAGGAGAGTTCGATTCTAGTTTCACAGTAGTAGCCTTTTCCTATGTATTTCCTAGAACTTTGTTTTTCAGTAGGATAAAGGAAAAGCAGAGGTTTTCCACTTTTTTCAATCGCTTCTAAACTTAAGGACCTGAGGCACTCTGCTTATAATTTAAGAAGAAAAACAAAAACAGGAGAGAAGGGGACTGTAGTGTGAAGGTTGTCAGTTTTAGATCAGCTATTTGCTTAAATATTTACTGTGAAAGCAAATGTGACTGAGAACTAGATGAACTAATTGAATACAAAAAGATAAGCAATAATTGAAATGGAAAAGCAGGTTCAACTCCTCGGTGCACTGGAAATAAATAGTTTAAGTGCAATTATACAAGTCATTTATGTAATTTATTGGAATATAAAAAAAATTCACAGCTGTAATTTCAATATGTAATTAACAACATAATCTAACAATATTCAATGTTTAATAAAATGGTATTCACTGTACGCGTATAAATTAACAGTTTTTAGTCTTTTATGTTTAACTTTCACAATATTTCTGTAGATATTTACAGTTCTTATATTCAATCCCCTTTTAATTAACATAAATCCTTATTACCCCAAATCTGCTCAAATATTTACAAATGTTGCATTTATTTTATGGCACCATCGTGACTCCTTACAATATTAGGTCGCTTCACTTTGGCGCATGCGTAGCAAACGTTTCGCTATGGCTGCCACAGGCTGGCCAGGCTTTGCAAAGAGTTTGAAAGGTGTCATTTTGGACTTGTGCGGAGTTTTGTATGACAGCGGAGAGGGCGACGGAGTTGCCATTCCTGGATCTATCGAAGCTGTAAAAAAGTAAGTGAAAGTATCGCGATGTTTGGGGCATTATTTGGTTCCTACAAGTACAGGAACTCACAAAGTCTGGAAGAAAGTTTTCATTCATTTCATTCAGAAGATATTTCTTTATGCAGGCATGCGTACAAGAACACGCGATATTTAAGTGAATGATGTACAAATTGTTCATGTGTTTGAAATTGCAGGCTCAAAGCATCTGATCTGCAGCTGCGCTTCTGCACCAACGAGACGCAGGCGACCAGAGAGAAGTTTGTTGCCAAATTGCAAAGACTGGGCTTTGACATTTCTGTGTCTGAGGTTTTCCCTCCTGCGCCCGCAGCCATTGCTGTTGTCAAGCAGAGAGGTTTACGGCCTCACCTGCTGGTGCATGATGGTAATGCGTTTCTCTTTTTAAAATCCTAAATCCAGCTCTAAATGTATACCATTAGCAATTTAGCAGCACTTTAATGTGTTGCACCAGTTTTTCAGAGCCCTTGTTAACTGCTCATACTTACTGGATTTAAAATTCATTTAATCAATACCTTGTGATTTACCAAACACCTGTAAACATTCAGCATGGAAATAGCTGCAAATTGCAACAAATAAACACAAATAAAACACGTTTCCAGATTCCACTTAAATGTGAAACTACTTTTTTTTCCAGGACTTCTTCAGGATTTTGATGGTGTTGACCAGACCAACCCAAACTGTGTAATCATTGGAGACGCAGCTGAACATTTTTCCTACCAGAACCTAAATGAGGCATTCAGGGTCCTCATTGGCCTGGAGAATCCAGTGCTGTTCTCTCTTGGTCAAGGGTATTCGTGTTTATATACAATTTTTGTTGTAATAAAAATAATATTTCCCTAATGGAATTTCAGCTAATGGAATTTCAGCTAAACATTCCCAATCTTCTCCTCTGTTTTAGGAGGTATTACAAAGAGACCGATGGGCTGAAATTAGATGTTGGTGCTTACATGAAAGCTCTTGAGGTATGTTACGTGTATCATCACACAATGGGAATTGGTTGACAGTAAATAACTACTTTTGTCTAAACTTATTTTAAAAATTGTCTTCTCCAGTATGCTTGTGATTTAAAGGCAGAGGTAATCGGGAAGCCCTCTCTGACTTTTTTTCAAAGTGTCCTGAATGACATGGGACTTAAACCACATGAGGTATGTAACTTAAAATCATACAACATGTACCCAAAGCACCAATTTGGTTTAAGAATGGAGCTGTGAAAATGTATCAGTTAGTTATTTGGTTTGGGCTGAAATAAATTAAAATACGTAAAAGAGTCAGTCTCAGCTCCCTGGAAAAGTTCTGTTATTGTAGTTTTCCCCAGGGACGTGTCCCGGGAGTGGCCTGGAGTAACACCTGCCACACTTGAAATCTGATTGGTCATCTGAGGTTCCACCCTCCTGAGTTCCATTTAATTGAGTTTACAATGTCCACAAAAGGCTTGGGTTTTCAAACTCTAAACAGTAGATGTCAGCATGTGCCTTTAACACTGGTTCAAGCCCCAAGCCAACAAAACATTTCTGTACTATTTTTATTCTTTATTGTTTTTTATATTGACATAAATAGTATTTAGAATTCCGGTCCCACTCCAGTTGGTGCTGGTAATGCACCAAGAAGTGGCTTGCTAGCCACCACTAAATGGCTCAAAGTAGAAGAAAGAATCGGTCACGACACAAGGTGGAGCTCACAATTTCACTAGAACGAAGCAAACAAATGTTTTTGTGAGGGGTGACCATAAGTGCCAGCCATGCATAACACGCCTATCTCCTGCATTAGCTTCTGGTAGAAAACAGATGGTGAAACTCTAGGATTTGAAAATCCTGACAGATCTACGTCATGCTGTCACTTAACATTCATGGATTCACCCATCTTGGCTTAAGACGGGGAAGGCTGTTGTTGGTTTAGCGTCCAGAAAACAGCAGAGAACGTCTTGGTTAGTAGAAGCTAACCGTTAGCAGTAGCAACTCCTCAACATGGCAGACCCCCTTCAGGCTTGTGTTATTTGTGGAGATAAAACATCACCATTACAGCGCAAACAGAGTCAGTGGTAGAGTCATGTTGATGTTAGCCAATCAGAGGAGAGATGTCCAATTATCAGAAAATAAGATTCCAAATCCTACTGTCTCAAGCTAGGTTCTGATTTGGCTCACTTCTAGTCTCTTAAACAGGCGCACCAGAGCTTTGTTTCCCCAGCGTACAACTTACAAGGCATTCATTCCTACTAGAGACCACTGAAAATGTATTAAAAGTAAAGTTGATCTTTTAAAAAAACTCATGTTAATTTTCTTTATATTCCTGATGTAATCTATGTATGTACTCAAATTTCCAAACATTATTTTCACAAGTTTGATGCTAAGAATCATGAATTTTATATTATACTACTGTGTATTCATTGAGCCGAATGCCACTTTGAACATGTCACAGCTGAGACACCAGTCAATACAACAGACTGTTGATAAGGAAATTGAACAGGAGAGGTGTGATGAAAACAGTACCAAACATCATTGTAGACTTCAGAAGGATTAAAGATGAGGCCCACCTACATCTTCACATTGAAGGTGTTAAGGTGGAATAAATGGAAAGCTTTAAGTTCCTGGATGTCTACATAACAAAGCATCTAACATGGCATGCTAACGCCTCTGACACAGTGGGAAAACCAGACTATTTTCATGCTCAGTCTACATGAAAAATTAATAACATAATTCGGTCAGCATACTTCCATCTACTTTCAATAAACCGTCTCCGCCCCTCCCTGACCCCTCACACTGACGCCATTCTCGTCCACAGCCTCGTCACCTCCCGTCTCGACTATTGCAATTCACTTCTTTATGGTCTCCCCAACAAACTCCTTCATAAACTGCAACTGGTCCAGAATTCAGCAGCCCGTATTATCACCAGAACCCCTTCCTTTCACCACATCACCCCGGTTCTCCAACAGCTTCACTGGCTCCCAGTTAAATTCAGGTCCATCTTCAAAATTCTCCTCCATACCTTCAAAGCAATCCACAACCTCTCCCCTCCATATATCTCAGACCGTATAAGTATTCACACCCCATCCCGTTCTCTCAGATCTTCTTCCTCCATCCATCTTGCCATTCCTTCTGCCCGTCTCGCTACCATGGGGAGCAGAGCTTTCAGCCGCTCTGCTCCCCGTCTCTGGAACTCACTTCCCCCAGACATCAGGAACATTGACAGTTTTACCCTTTTCAAAACAAAACTCAAAACACATATGTTTAAATCTGCCTACAATCTCTGATTTTATTGAACTGTTTTTCTCTTAGTTTTTTTTTTATTGTTTGGGTTTTATTATTGTTTTATTGTATTTTATTAAGTGTTTTCTGTCAAGTGACCATGGGTGTTCTGAAAGGCGCTTTTAAATAAAATGTATTATTATTATTATTATAAAAACTCAGAATAACTGATTATAATCAGAAATAATAATTGAAAAATGTTTTTTTAGTGAAGTCAACCTTTAAAACCATCAAAAATATAAAGTAAAATGGATGGTTTTCATATTTAGTCCTAATTTTATGATTAGTTTGTTACTCTTTTAAGATCAAATTTAATTAATTTGAAGCTCTTAATAACATTATTTAATTTAAACAGGGAAGTCAATCTGAGAAAAATAAACGTTGAATGTGGAGTTTAAAGTGCCTCAAACAGCAGCAGGTACTTACTCACCAACATTTTTCTGAAACATTCCTGTCTTGAGAACATCCTGCTACCCTCTAGGACCTTTTTGTTCTTTTATGTGTTGAAATTCCCATCTGGTTCACTCCAACTCCTCCTCGTTGACAGCTGCCATTACTTTCATTCCTGTCAGAAAGTCGTGTGAATAATTCCTCAAATAGACATCTCCTTCACGATGTGACATTCTACACGGCACACTCTGCTGATGCCGAACCACTCCAACCAGACTTTCTCCCAACATTGTGTGCCGGTTTAGAACAAGTAATGGTCCAGTCAAATTAAACCTGCCACTCTTTCCTCTGTACTAAAGTGTTGATGAAGTCCATCATTCACTGGACACTTTAAACACATTAGTTACTGGTGTTATTCACTGGTAACGATTGGTAGCCTGGCCTGCCAGACTCGTCCTCTGTTTAATTCTGCACAGCTGGCAGGCCAGGCTAAACGTTTGGTACACCCAGTTCAACCAGCAGAGGAAGTGTTCTATTTTTAGCCCTCCCAGGTTCTTAGTGTTCTTTCTGTGTCCTTGTTCCATAATTTCAGACTCTGATGATTGGCGATGATCTCGTAAATGACGTGGGAGGAGCTCAGTATTGTGGCATGAAAGGTGTGCAAGTCAGGACTGGTAAATACAGGTGAGTGAAGTCCCAGATCCATAAAACGTCTCCTTTTTGGCTCAAAATGACCTTAAGTGAATAAATATGTCAAATGTCCACTTGACTTTTAGCTTATCTGGTGTCATCTGTTCTTCCATGGACTTGAAATGTTTGCCTTTTTATTCTGGAAGTATCATTTTCAAAGATAATTTTCATCACCACAAGAGGGCACCCTTAAAGCATATTTCCACATTCAAGCTTCCTCCACAAAACTTCCTGTGAACTCACCGCCCCATTCTTAAATCTTTCAGATTTGTTTGTTTGTTTGAGACTCTGCCAAAAATAGCTTTTTCCTCTCTACACGTGGGTCACAGGGTTGGAGTCACCAAAGAATTTATGCCGTAGAATCTGGACATTAGTGGGATATCCTCTTTGGTGTCGTTACAGAGAAAATATGGGCATTTTTTCAAAGGTACTATGTGGTTCTGATGGTTTGGCACAAACAGAAACATTATGGAACTATACATGAAGGCATATATACAGCATTTATGAAGTACACAAGGTCACATATGCTGTTTTTAAACCCTTTAAAGTGCATTTTCTAATTAATCTGGAGCAACAATACTTATAGTAATGAATTATGGTTAATTGTTTGATTCAGACATCCCCGTTTTATTAGAACAAAGTGGTTGACTTTAAAGGGTAAAAGCACCTTTTCCTTTGGAGTTTTTGAGTACATTTAGAAAGTATTCATTGGTAAAAATCAGGAATCCAAAACATTTTTATTTTCTAATTGAGGTGGAAATATCATCATGAAACCACAATAGAATAAATGTTATAGATTTAGCTGTAATCCCGTATCCAGACTACAGTTACTACTACAGTACACACATCATTACTTTCATTGGCTCAGAAAACCACCCACTGGCCACTTTATTAGGCACACCTCTTTGTTAACACATCTAGTCAACTCGTATTTAGGCATCTACGTGAGATGATAAAGACAAGCTGAGCATCAGGGGGAGGAGATTTAAGTGATTTTGAACGTGGCATGGTTATTGGTACCAGACCTGCAAAACACCATCACTGAACCACAACGTGTTGAACTTTGAAGCAGAATTAAGACAGTTCTGAAGGCAAAAGGAGGTCGAATCCAGTACAAACAATGCCAGTTAAGTGGCCAGTGAGAGTAAATACCCCTAAGTATGATTGTACTTAGAATGGAGCAGAAACAACCGTTGCTTTTGCATGAAGCAGACACTGAGCCAGAAGGGTTTGGCTCCTTAACGACCCAAATCCAGCAGACCAACATAAATCATTTGGCCTGAGTACAGCATGCACAACACCTCATGATTATGAAGTATGCTTAATTTGTTTGTTCTCAGTCTAAACTGGACCAAAATCACATAGCAGCAGCTTAATCAAACCTGGCCGTGAATTCTGGGCCCAAAGGGAGTCACAGCTGGAGCAGAGCGGAGTGTTCCTCACCCTCATCTTCCTAAGTCAGATGGCAACGTTTGTTTTGTTCTGTGGAGGTGTGGACCAGACGGACTGTACTGCATGACCTGCTGAAAAAATGTCACGTAGGTTTAGGTCACATGACTTGGGTTGACACGGAGTAATCTGCTTTGAGCATCAGTCTTGCTGAATCCTGCAGTCCGTCAACCAAACCACTCCCCTGTTGGTGCTGTTATTCTTCTTTATGACAAACACACAGGCGTGTGTGTGTGTGTTTACCCACTCTGATGTGCTGTTTAGTGCATGTAGCCAACATGTTGGTGCATGATGGGGTTACCTCTGTGCCACCTTCATACAGGAAACCAGGCTGTTTTTATGCAAATTCTCCATGGAGTTAGCTTGACCCATGTGGTTTGTGTTACTCGGCTGGGCTTTGGTGTGCTGATGCTCTGACACACTTAGCTAAACACGGGGCGAGGCAGATTAAATTATACCGCTGCTCAACCTTATTTTGTTTCATTCTTAGACGAAAGCAGCTGGAATAGCATTGAATAGTAAAAGAACACATGTGCAATCAGTGTCGTTTTGTGTTACAGCTGTGGTGATTTAGTGCCCTAGAAGTGTGCTGCTAACCAGAACTATCATTCAAATCCCCTCCACTCACACAAAAGTCTGTTTGTTTCTTCTAAAATGTTTTACTGGTCTTGAGTTTGCCTTTGCCTGTTCATGTGTGAATGTGTGTCCGTTCTGTTGGATGGATTTTAATAAAACTCTATGGATATACGTCTACTCAACACAAGATGGTGGCCACAGCTAATCAAAAGTAGCAAACATGAAAAACGACTACAACTCAATTGATTGTTCAGCGTGAGATATTGGAGGTGTGGTGTGAGAGCGTGTGAAGAGGGTCAAATGCGTGTGAGCATGACAGTTGGCAGCCCTGATGGATTTCCTCCAACAGACTCACTAGTTTCACTCCAGGGGCACTGGGAAAAGCACCCCTGAACTGCAGCTAAACAGCCAATCACATGTGGTTGCTAGGGAGAACCAGAGAATTCTGGCCCATTCAGCATCTGTGAACTGACAGCTCCTCATACAGAAAACAACCAGCTAGCATGCTAGAAAGTGCTGGATCTCATTTTCACTCTTTTACTTCCTCACTCACACACTCACTGTTGGTCTAATATGCAGCTGAAATCATAACTGTTGCTGTAAATAGTGTTTGTTACTGTTTTATGGGAGTATGTTAAATAAAACAGCATATCTAATTCGATTTCTATTCCCTGTTTCTGCCATCTACTGGTCAAGATGAGAATTGCCTTTTGAGATGCCCAGCTTTGAGCAGATGGTTGAAACACTGAATTATTGACTGTTGCTCTTAAAGGCTCTCACAGGTTTGTGTATTTATTTGAGAATTATTACAATTATAGTCAACTTTATCTACAGATGAGAAAACTGACTTTCTGTAACACTGCTTACTTGAAGGAGGGAAATTAATGATTGTATTGGAATTGTAGTTATTTTTTAAACTGTTGATTTTAATGCTTATATGGACTGAGACGGGAAATATTTCACATATATGCTTATGTATTTAGCAGACGCTTTTGTCATAAGCGACTTATAAGTGATAATCGGCATATTGCCCTTGAGGCTAACAACAACAATAACAACTACAACTTGACATCAATCATGGAGAGTAGGGAACAAGGAGTGGACAGTAGAGAGGGGGGACGGGTGCAGGGAGGGGTGCTAGTTAAGAAGATGCTCTCTGAAGAGCAGGGTCTTCAGGAGTTTCTTGAGAATTGAAAAGGAAGCTCCTGTTCTGGTAGTGCTTGGAAGGTCATTCCACATTTGTGGAACGATGCATGAGAAGAGTCTGGATTGTCCTGAGCGTGGTGGAGGCACTGCTATCCGACGATCCTGTGATGACCGGAGTGGCTGGGCCGAGACGTAAGCCTTTGCAAGAGGATTCAGGTAGATGGTAGCAGTATCATCTCGGACTTTGTATGCTAGTGTTAGCAATTTGAATGTGATGCGTGCTGCTAGCGGTAGCCATTGGAGCTCAATGAACAGAGGAGTGACGTGTGCTCTTTTTGGCTGATTGAAGACCAGATGCGCCGCTGCGTTCTGGACCATTTGAAGAGGTCTCACAGTACAGCCTGGAAGACCAGTTAGAAGGGCATTGTAGTATCGAGGTGGCAGATGACAGTAGATTGCACCAGGAGCTGGGTGGCATGTTGTGTTAGGTATGGTCTGATCTTTCGTATGTTATACAGCGCAAAGCGGCATGAACGAGCAACAGAGGCAACATGATCTTTAAAGCTCAGGTGTTCATCAATCACAATACCCAGATTTCGAACTGCCTTTGAAGGAGCCAGAGATAGGAATCACATATAGCCACTCCCAAGATTTTTTTCACCAGCCGCCACTGACAGCTTTAGACTTTAATCTGCTCCTCTGTAGCCGACCTACTATGACTCTGACATCTGGAGCAACAGAGACTTATTTTTGTATTTTGTTAATGTTTTTTATGCTTGCAACCAGGAATGGGAAGGGAAAAACAGCATTCTTGAACCGTTAAACAGAGTCAGCTAGTTATATTTACAATCACTCACAAGACCCGTAGAGTACACACAGAGTCTGGGGGAAAAAAGAAGAGTATCTGTGACATTTTACTGTGTTTCAGTGGGACCTTAAATTTTCCTCGAGACGTGAGATTAAACATTGTTTAGCCAAAAAGCCCAAGTGAACCCTGGCCTGCTTTGAGTAGCTATAAACCCTCAGTCAGATCTGTGAAAACACAGCTGTTTCCAAGTCAACCAGATGCTGTACAGGCCTCCAGTTCCCATCAGGCTCGGGGAGGAAAAAAAAGGGATGGCTTCAAATTCCCCCAGACACGGTGACAAGACATAAAAAAAGGCGTGCATCAGACAAATTGTAGGCTTTTATTAAAGCTAATCTGTCGGATTGAAAAACTTTCCCTGACTGCTTTCTTATGATGCTCGTTGCTGTTTTTTTAGTGAAGGTGATTAAAGGGGAGTGTTTACAATGAAGTGACATGCCTGTTTTTGTCTTTCTGTGAATTTCTCTGGATAGGAGTCAGAAACTTGCTTTTCTGTAACACGATGCAGATTAGATCATGTCAAGACAAAATGACTTAGTGCAGATTAAACCATTACGCTACAGCCGTGCTCAAAGTCAAGTAAAAACAACTCAAAGATTTATGTGATCACAAAGTTAAAATCACCACGGTAGATAACTTTATGGTTGCTGTTGATTAAATTCAAGAGAGGACCAAGCAGCTTGAGATCACGGGTCTCAGAAGCAATGACTGTTGGACCAAAGGCCCAGTACAGGCATGATTGTAATAGAGCAGCTCTGCAAGCACTCAACTTCCCCTGCTTCTTTAAATAATGAGCTAAAGTTGGTGTGTTTGAGGGGAGCCAGGGATCCCTGTGCTCTAATGTAGACCAGGTTTTCAAAACTGAGGCCTACCAGGAAAAAGTGGCTGGAAATTAGACGGGGTGTGTGGAAACCTGGCTGCTGAGTTAATCAGCTGCATGGGAACGACCTGCCAAATG